ATGTTGAAATATATCACTGTTCGTCAGTGTTTGCCAGTCCAAACCCTGACGGCTGCTTCCAATCATTTGTGCATGGACCACATATTTCCCCCAGTAACGGGCACGTACGATCTTGAAATTTAAAAAAGAAATTATATTATCAGTTACAGAAGAAATTATTGCTTGCCTCTGTGACTATGATCGACCGTGCTATAGAATATAGTAAAAAATAAGTTAAGCCAATAAAAATAGCAGTTTTTCAACGATTATATCCTGTATCATTTTCTGCAAATCATTTCGTTCCCTCTCTAAAATCATTCCAATTTGTTGTCGCTGCCTTTACGTTCCTTCCGTATTCACTTATTTCCTTATCGATTCAATTGAATCAGTTTTTGCAAAAGTGCATACTTGATCGAGAATGTATTTGCTGAGTTGACCCATATCATGCTGATAATGTCGTAGACCTGCGTCTATAAAATCGGCAAATTTCGGCTCACCACACATTGCCGTGTCGACATTGGTTGGAAAATTCAACGTTCTATTAGCAAACTGCTGCTCGGTGTCATTTGAATCTAAATGTAACACATTCTCAGCCTTTCACTCAGGACGAACACTGTTTTGTTCGGGTAGTTGAAACATCTCTTGTATCAGGCACTCATCAGTACTTCATTCTTGAATCGATGGATGTTTAAGAATACCATGTAACATATTGTCCATTGAAAAAACCAGTATGGACTTTCCCCTCCCAATACGATGTAATTATTCAGAACTACGCAGGTTGGGAAACACGACAGGCATTTATTACTTATTCTTCCGACTGTATTTTCAAAGCAAGATGAAACTCGAGATATACAACTAAGGAAGCGACTCTTAAGGCTAATAGCAATTGAAGTTCTCTTCTCATAAGAACTGAAAAATTGTGCTAGGAATCACTATGCGCTAAAGAAAACTCTCGTGCAATTTAACCACTTGAAAAGTGTGCAACAGTAATATTTAACCACCTCTTTATGGAAATATATCTCGTATATACTTCAAATACTGACTTAATATAAAATTGAGCGATTGCAATGGATCACTTAAAAAAGTTGTAGGTACCTCGAGGCGAAGAATGATTACGAGGTCGATAGCGACGTGCGATCTCCTTCACATAACCCGCATTCACAGTCACAACTATCACCAGCACAATGAAGCGAAACAACGAAGATCGCATCTCTGAAGAGATTATTCCTCTCTTATAGAATAATGAATGAGACTTCATATTCTTGAAATTACAATTTCAGTGAATAAAATGCACTTGGATAGAGCACGTTTAATGAAATTTTCGTTAGATTGCAGTGAACCCTATGAAATTAGCAGATGGATGCAATTTTTGTAGAATTGATCAGGAGTAATAACGATTCATTGCTACTACTTACTGCTATAAATATTTGTTAACCATCATACTACCGCTCTGAATATCCCCGCTAGATTTAACTATTCATTAGATTTACTATCAATATTCAGTACATTGTAATATTAATATTAGAATTGTTAGATACTATTCATTTTCTATTACTGTTAGTGTTATATAAACGATACAACACAACATTTTCATTACTAAGGAACTTACCAATATATGTGAAAGTATTGCTATGCTAATGGTAAGCTAGCAAAGCGGAATGTGCACTGAACAATATCTGAGGACGAAGGTGAAATCAGCTGACTGTCTCCGGGTACTGAACTGCGAATGGATAAAGCAGATAAATCCTTTGTAATGTTCTTTGGTTTTACTTCATCGTTGAAAAATACCAACTGGCGAAAGATTCTTACATTGCAATCGATAAATCAACACAACGATTGAATCAAAGTTCTGTTTTATTATCTTGTTTTGATCTGCAATTACTCCTTTAATCTGCACTTTACAGAGAAAACTTTACTACCCAGACCCCCACCTCCATAAATTTCCCCCATAACTCTTGCCAGACGCATCTGATTGCTGTTATCTTTTTGCCTTTCCGAGTATAATTGCTTATAAAATGATGACAGCCAAGAGAGCAACAAACTAATTATAAACGTTCCAATACTTTTATTGTTTTCTCATCAATAAACTTGTTTAAAGTGCTTTAGTTGGTTTTTTCTTCCATTCGAAGCGCACACATAGATCAACGTAGACGAGAGGAAAAAAGAGTCAATAATGAGTTTGTTGAGCTGTAATTTCACAATTCCTATTCGAACGAGCACGAGAATTTAATGGTCACAATGAAGAGTTTAACGATGATCACAACAAGTCACTAGCGATTCATTGTCTTGTTTCGAAACGAAATACTGAGCACAGACTGAGATCATCGTGGCAAAATTGTTGGTTTCGAAGAGAGTCCATGTGGAAAGACCGAACAACGTTTCATTATTTTATTGTTAACAACATTTCATTTTATTGTTCTGTTTGCGGACAATAGAACCATAAAACAAAGTCAAATACAATACGTGGAACAGCATAAAGCAAGTACATTTTTCACAACATCGAATTTGCAGATCATTCCAGCGTTCCAAAAAAACGAATCAATCAAAAACATAAAAATATATATCTGTAAAACGAGGACACAAATGATCAAATGAACAACAGAAAATAAGCGATCAAAAAAACGTTCACACAACACTGATGAACAACAGAAGCAGCAACGAAAAATGAGCGAAGAGTTCACATTTGAGCTTCTCAACCTCAGTGAAGTGAAGTGAATTTCAACGAATACAGCTTCGAGTCAAAAAAAATCATCTGGCTCAATCATTTCCGCCTCTTTTCAACAACAAACATAAAGAAACAATATCACAGGTGCTCTAAAATTTGTGCGTTTCTAATTTTAAAAAAATGAACAATATGTAAATAAACGAATTTAAGAGAGCAGTTTACGAAGCAAAACAAATGGGCAAATAAACAAACAAATCAACAAAAACAATCAAAAAAGTTCGCTCGTTCCATAGATATAAACAAAGATCAGCGATTGTTATTTCAGAATACAGCTCTCAGAAATCACCCCCTTCTTCTTGGTTATGACTTCGGATTATCAGACTGGATTATCTCATTATGCACTTTCGCATCTGTTTCCGCACTGCAATCCTCTTCCTCCTCTTTGATAGAGTCCAAATTTTCACCGTAGTTCTCAGTTTTCATATCGTTCAGTCCCAACTCCTCGTTTTGCTCGAAATTTCGCGTATAAAATATTTTCTCCAAACGCGAATCGTCAAGTGGTGCAGCCAAACTCTGCAAACTTTCATTCTCAAATATCCAACAACGTAATCTTACCAATATTCCCAAATTACAACTCAAACAATAAAACACTAAACCCTTCTCAACAAATTCAAATTCTTTCAAGACCTCACTTATTCACCTCATCCTATTGTTTATTGAAGTTTGCCAAATCGCTTTCAGCCACAACTATCGTGTGAACGGTAATATTTTCACTGGAATGTCAATCACTCAAAGACTTTACTTCAGTAAAATTTGATGAATATTAAATACAGCTGAATGCTATCAAACTATACGAATCGCCTCATTAACAGCCAGAAAAAACGGAATAAATCGCCCGCCAACCGACCTGTATATAACTATTGCCAGCTGGGTCGTCCAGTACCAAATGCACTTTCCTCTTCAGTGCGATCATCTCATCGAATCGTTGCAAGAACTCTGACATCGTGGTATTCGCTTCTGGCAGAGCACTGTCACCGAGCATAAAACTGCCTTGTTGCTGCATTATAAAATTATCACTTCATTTCAATTTCCAACAAATTAATCGCATTCCTTAAGCCCACAACTCAGATTGGACATGATGAAGTGGCAAAATCACATTCGAAAGTGACACTATTCGATGGCACTCTGATTCAACACATCAGCTATTACCTTCACAACAAACAAATTATGCCACTCATCAAAACTGCACTATCGCACGTGACAGGTGTTAAACAAACACACCATAACTTGAGTGTTATAAGCGTTTCACACTTCATTCCCAGCAACATTGTATTCACAAACCTCAAGTTGTTCTTTTGTGGCAGTCAGAAGGCCTTCGACGGTTGTGAAACGACTCAGCAACGCACCCGGTCCCACTTCAAGTTCCAGCTCAGGTATTGCCATACCACACGTATCCGATTTCAACACATCCCTGGCCAAATCAACTTCCTTCAGAAAAACAAACAATCAGCAATCATCAAACAAAATCACCAACAGTAAACAAATCATGCTGACGACAATTTTCATTCATCCATTTTTCTAGCAAATTACAACATTAACATAACTACTCATAAGACATCCTATTCTCTCATTTACACAACATTCGATAGAACAGATCAACGAAACACATCAATGAATCCCTACTTTCTCAATGGAAACGATCAGTTTACAGCCTTGATCACGAATCGCGCCTGCACTCTTCACTTCATTCGACCGTTCACCACAATAATCACATGTTGTTGACATTATTATGACAGTCGAAAAATACGGTATATCTATAAAATCATTGAATGCTTCTACCATTTTTCACTCCATGAATGAACGAAAAGATGTCTGCACTATGTTCAGACCAATCATACTTCTACAATTAACAAATTACACCATTCTAAACCATAGCAATACCCAAACTTTTGTCCATCCAAGTAACCACTGGTGAGAAATTTCCTGAACCAGAATTGAAGTTCTGAACTTTTTCATCCGAAAGGAATCATTCAAATCGAAAATCGAACGCAAAATGATACGAATGGATATCGCAATGATTCCAACCTGTAGGTTTCATGCATGTTTCGGTGGGTCGACCACAATTCGGACAATCGGTCGCGAAACGGAGAACCTCATGTTTTGCATCCTCGAACGATTGCCATTCAGGCACGGGCTCTGGCTCCTGATTTAACGGATTCATTTTGGTACATATGAATTTCAATCGATTTAAAATTCTACACGATATTAACATTAAATTCAGGTGCGAAACTCTCAAAACCAAAAACTTACCACATCATCATCGTCCGCTAATCCCAACATTTTGTTTTCATCCAACGTTCGATGATAATGTGTGGCGATACAATGCGGGTCTACATGGAAAGGATTCGGATTTTCGATGAAACAATTGCCAGTGGCATCGCGTAACTTCTGAAATTCAATACGGCTTTCATTGTCCATTCAATCATTTTGTTCAGATCACAAATTATTTGATAAACTGTGAATCAATTGAACACAAGTAACGGATCTGCTTGTATAATTTCATAAGAAAACTTCTACTGGAACGCTGACGGAATCAAACTAACCAGCGTAAAAGGTTGCTTCAAATTCATAAAATCTTTGATACGTCTCAGAAATTCGTCAATTTTTTCAGCGATTTCTGGTTGCTCTTTCTTTCTTCTTTGCTGATCTTGTTCTAAGCCCAATCGTACTCGACTCAAAACACCTTCCACTGTGGTCACTTCTGGAAGTCCAGAATATTCAACTAATTGCCTAATCGGTAATCATAAAATTCGAATTCACTTGGATAACTTTTTGGTAACAATGAAGAACATCACTGATTCTAGATTAACTTAGAAATAGAGATAGTCAGCTTGATGCTTTGAATAGAGTGGATGAAAATTTCGAAAAATCAAACAAAAATTTGAGAAGAACACCAACCTCCAGGTTGTGTTAATGGATCAATTTCTAATTCCAGTTCAGGTATTTCGATACGAGCATATTCGGACTTGACCAACTGTCGATTCATGTCCTTAGCATCTTTTACGTTTAGCACTATTTCTGTACCGTGTTCCTTAAATCCCGAACGGATTATGGAATTGCTGAATAGAAACGAACGAATAAATGAAGGAAAGAGTGTTTAAATGTAAAATAAGGATAAATTTACATATTTACATTTGATATATTTACATTTAAAAAATGATAAACAAAGGATAAAATTCTCAAATGAGAACATACCTGAACGGCCTCACCGCTCTGAAGCTCGTTGTTTCCGTAGCCACAGTGATCACACGTAAAAGACATCACAATCACTTGCCTGTAGTAAGGTATCCGAGTGCACATTATTCGTGTAATACCCTGCAATATCAAATTCATTCCGTCTGATAGTTCAGTCTCACATTTGAACAATTCTTTTGTAAATGATACAAAAAACAGTGATATGTAACGAGTGCTGATGATTAATCGATAAGAATTTGACTTGAAATGTTACATTTTTATGACAATTAGTACACAACGATTCCACTTCAACAGGATATTGTTCGCTGTCATCCGCTGACAACTCCCTGAACACCGTCTCATCCGTACGGTCGTCTGTTGCACTCATTTCTTTTCGGCTTCTGTAGGCAACTTCTCAGTTTCCGATTATTTTTACGCCTGAAAATGATTATTATTAAATTAAATGGAAAACGACACTCGTCGTAATGTTAACAACTAATAATAATAACGAACCACACAGGTGGCTAACGAGACAACAACTAATGTCAATTTGAGCGTATAATATTGATATCAGTAAATAAGTAAACAAAGAAATAAAATTTGACCAATAAACAATTGAATTGCTGAAATAATCTTTTCGCAATGCATTAAAGCGATTAAAATATAGTGATAGCGCTGCAAAGTCAACAAACGCACTTCTTCAGTTGAGATTCGCTCATCGTTCAAACCATTTTGGCACTCTTTCCATAACGAATTTGAGGCGTTTTCAATTGCATTCCGTTTTTTTTTNTTTTTTTTTCATTTTTAGCAGATTCATTTTAGCGGATTTCTCAGTGATTGTCAAGCTTTCGTCTTAACTTATAATTAACTCATAATTTCTGAGTGGCTCAGGTCGACTGATGGATAATTCGAGTCAATTTTACGTTTATTTGTGAGAACTATTTTCATGGGGTTTGCGCTTTTCAGGGTATCTGTTGAGTGTAATCAGAGAACGAATGTCATTTCGAGGTCGAGGCGGTGACAGGGGTAGAGGTGGTTTTGGTGGAGGCAGAGGAGGGGGTCGTGGATTCGGTGGGCGAGGAGGGGGACGGGGAGGAGGACGGGGAGGATACGACCAAGGACCGCCAAGCGAAGTTATTGGTCAGTTTGTTTGGTAGTAATTATACAGATATTTCTCGGGTAGGATTCACCAGAAGAATGCGAGCTCCAGCATAACTTTGAATTATGGTTAAGATTCTAAGTCGCTCATATGGATTCAAAATTTGCTTCATTTAGTTTGGATTTCATTTCCAATAGTTCATTTCATCAGGACTGGAATCTCTCTCAGGCAATGCTTTCATGAATAGTTTCCGATAAGATACCGCTGCCAGTCATGTACGCAAAGCATTGGTTCTTATTCGTGAAGTGTGCAAAAGAGAATGGATTCTAAAAGTTTTTCAGAAGTTGGATATTTCACGCATACTTGTGAAAACGATATAGTGTGCCATACAACAGTTGGCAAAGTACCCTATTTCAATGCACCCGTTTATTTTGAAAACAAAGAACAAATCGGAAAAATCGACGAAATATTCGGTGGTCTCAAAGACAATGTGAGTTTTCATGTTATTCTTTTCGGAAGTTATTGTTCACTGGTCACCTACCATCGAATGTTTATATTTCTTCATTGACAATTGATAGATAATGAATTTGAATCAATCACTTTGAGGAACATATTCTGTGATTATGAGATTCGAGTCTTCTAATGTCAGTTTTTCGATAACAATATTTATTCGCATGAAAATATGTCTAACAAGTTCAGTACAATGATAACAATATGGCCACTCTACTGCTCCAGCTATTGTTGGGGTGAGGAGAAATAATTTAAAGATTCGAAAAGAATAAACAATTGTTATCCTACAATGGTATGAATCATATCAAGCATATATACAGTTTGATGACTGAAGATATTTGAAGGGTTTCACGGTAGTGTTGAATGGAGGCATGAAAGCGGGATCTTTCGAAGAAGGTACCAAACTGTACATTGACCCAGCCAAGTTATTGCCTCTGGAACGATTTCTGCCACAGGCGAAAGGCACGCGTGGCACACGAGGAGGACGTGGTAGGGGAGGAGACCGAGGTGGTGGACGAGGTTTGTTGATCGAATCTGATTCATTCCCAGATAAATTTTATCTGTCATCCTCTGTCCACCATGATCAGTGGATGAATTCGAGTAAGGAAACGTTTTGCAGGTGGAGGTCGTGGGTTCGGCGGACGGGGTGGTGGTGATCGTGGAGGTTTTAGAGGAGGTTAGTTCGAATTTTTGTTGATAATTCGTTCAAGTTCTGATTTTCTTCTTATTGGTAATCCGTTCAACGCGAATGAAATTTGAGGTCGGGGCGGAGATCGAGGCGGGGGATTTCGTGGTGGATTCCGAGGTAATGATCGAAACAGTGGCGGAGGTTTCCGAGGTGGAGGAGATAGGCGTGGAGGGTCATTCCGTTAGTTTCATTTATTCGTTTATCATTGCACTGATACTATTGTTATTGTTGTTTTTACTGTTATTGTCGTTATATTATATTATTATTGTTCTCGTTATTTTCATTATTATTAATTATTATTATATTATTGTTATCATTAAATTGTTATTATTGTTGAGTGATTTTTAAGGCGGTGGTGATCGAGGCGGTGGCGATCGAGGTGGTGGAGGGTTCAAGCGATTTGGTGATAGTTCACCATATCAGCAACAGAACAAGAAAAAACGTTTTGATGATTGATGATCAAAAATACGATTTTTATATTTGTTTGTATTATCGTTTATCGTTGACGTTTTTATTGCTGACTGATTTATCGATGCAGTTCAGTCGTTTATTCCTCAGGAGAATATCACTTGAACTCGTTGAAGGAAACCTTTTTTAGTTTTTTAGTTGTTGCTCTAAGATTGAAATATTGTCGCATAATTAATTGGAAAAACGTTGAAGAAATTGAGGGAATTACTTGCAGTGGTTGTTACTGTGTAGATGTTGCAAAGTCGAATTCGATATGCAGTTTAGTTTGATCTTCGATAACGAATTTTAGTATCGTCAGATCAGAATTATTGACCGTTAATGAAATATCAATGCAACGTTATTTCAATGATTGCTATGTGATGATAATTAATAATTGATGTTCTGTCATTATTATGGTTATTTTTTGTATTCATCGTTACATGTCGATTATTGTTGCTGTTGTTAACTTTGGTGTGAAACTTGTTATTTTCTATTTTTTTGTTGTTGTTATTGTTGCTGTTGTTGTTTTTCATTAAAAAGTTACAAATTTTTAAATTCTGCCGATAAAATTACACATTTTCTAGTGTTACTCTGTCGTTCTGAAAGTTTATAAATTACAAACAGATTAATCCTTTGTCAGAATGTTCATATACACGGGCGAAATTGAAAAGGAGGGTGCCTCAATATTGTGTTAGACGGTACCGTGGTCATTTGTGATCAACATTGAGAGATACCTTCAAAAAATTAAGGATATTTCAACAACGAGGCATTATTGGTGGCGCAAATGACGTTTGGCAGAAAGTTGAGATCCACTCCTATCTAAACATACCGAGAAATGGCCACGTTCCTGAACAAAGCTGAGGAGCAGGGTCATCTGAATTTTGTGTTCGGTACATACTGCATGTGTATCAGTGCGTTTGGTGATCAACAGTAAATGATAATCTCCCAGATATCTGAGATATCTGAACAATGGGGCATGGTCAACTGGCAACAGATAATATTTTTCGGAAGCCGATATCTCCTATCTAACGGTATCAGAAAATATTCATGTTTACGGGCAAAGGCTTATGCTATCAGTGATTCCCACGTTCGGGTGTTCAATTAACCCTTTTGGTGGTCCATCAGACCCTCATTACTGCCCCCAATTGCTACAGTCATTTACTATTTCTATACACAACGTCAGAACTACCTCCTCGACCCTCTCAATTGCCCCATGGTAACCCCATACCACCCAAAAATGGATAATTTTCCACTTATGGAGACTCCTGCCATAAGGCGAGTACCATTTTCAAACTAACTCTATCCTCCAGTTTACACAGCAACACCATTGTTTCTTGTTAGTATTGGATCCAGGAGATTCTCTGCTTTTAAATTATCATATATGTAGTTGAAGGATTTTGCTTAATTCAAGAGATATAACTGATTTTCTAGACATATGATCTCTGTGGTGTGATCAATGGTATAGTTCTATAGGAATATTACGAATGCCATTATCAAACTACTTGACTCCTTGAGTTTGCACAGCAACACTATTGCTTCTTGCTGGTATCAGATCCAGGAGATTATCAGCTTTCAGACTATCAAATATGTTGTCGGGAGAATTTGCTTACAACTAGTATGTAAATAGGTTAGTTGATGGCAACTCTTTACTCTCCTATTTTTTGAGTAGCTCGTCCGGACTTAACAGGGTTTTTATTCGTTTTTACAGGGTTTTCATTCTTTTCCTTGCTTTACAATCGCTCTCATAGCTCTTCTCACCAAAAGTGTTCTCTTCTGCTATTTTCTCATTCATTTCTTTTAACAGTCAGAGTCAAATTCTCATTCTATCAAACACACTATAATTTATCAATTGACTGTCGGACGTTGTTGAGCAATTCAGTTCGATTGCTGTATTGTTGATTTCGGATGTCAACAACAGTCACTGAATAGTATGTGCTACAGATTGAGAAGTTGTGAAATGCAATGAGGCGAAGTGAATGAGAAAAACTCATCAAGAGAACAATATTCGCATGTGATAGCTATGAGAGTGAATACAACACGTCTGAAAAGAATGAGAATCCATCTGAATCAGTTAGAAGTGAACATGTCATAGACAACGGCTTTTGATGCAATCATGATCGATCGCCATAATGAGCAACACAACGGTCTAGGACAGTGATTCTCACAGGGAGTGAAATTCCCCATTTTGGGTAATTTAGAGATATCAAGAGGTAATCGAGGGAATCGGGAAATTAATATTTCGTGTAATTGTTAGTTATGATAGAATGTCATTGTGATGGTGTATTTCTCGCCTGTGAAGAACTTCTGGATAATGAAGCAAATTTATGCATGAGAATATCGTGAAGCACGAATTCTTTGTGCGCATAAAAAACTTTGAATGATTATTTTAAAATGGAATTTCATATACAGTTTCAATGCAAACATGTTACAACTATGAATTATTGTCTTCCCATCGTGAGTGACATACAAAATTTGGTCAGCATGAGATTGGGGACTGCCATACAAATTAGACGTCGAACATTTTTAGGAATAAAGGATGTTCCTGGGTGATATTCTTTTGCTATGGTGCCGCATCACTGATTCGACCATTGCGGTGAACGCTTCTCAATGAAAGCTTGCATACCTTCTTTGATATCGTTCTGAAATTAACCTGGTTGATGAAATTAACCTTCTCTGCTTGCGGTAATCTGACCAAGCATCTAGATCATGAACTGCGTCATGTAGATGATAAAACTTTTTTGTCACTAAATCTCTTGAATTCAGCTCTCAATGTATCCATATAAACATACTTAGTGCGTGAAAGTGTGCTCATTATAAAGTCGCAAAATCAGTCACTTGCCAAAATAGGAGCACTAAGTTCGAGGTGATACTCATCTTGCTAATAATGATAGAAATAATAATGAAAGACAATAAATAGTAACTGTAGCAAATGTTGAATGGAAGAGTTTTCGTTCGGTGGCAAGTCCTTGTTGTAGAGTTGTTTCGTAGGCGTTATTTACAGATTCTTTTACTATTGCGCTTATCAGTGAGGAATTTCTCGCAATTTTTTCTGCCAATTTGATTGTTTCGTCGAGCAGCACTTCGCCTGGGAATACCTTAAAGCCACTTTCATTACCGTTTATCCACACTATTGTTCTCAAGCACAATCGCTAGTACTGCTAATATCACCACTGCTGTCTTATCATTTGTGTTTATCAATCCCGTTATCATTTCTCACCGTTTACGATTATTCTTATTGTTGATACTGTGTATTACCAGTGTTACTGTATGCATACAAAGTCAGTACGAGTCACACTATGATATTAACCGGACACCATAGCTTTTGAGAAAGTCATTTTCGAGTGTGTATTCTCTTGCAGTTTAATGATAGTTTGATCTTCTTGTTGTTAGATCAGATGATCTGTTTTCGGCATTTCAATAACAAACACTGACAATGTTATTGTGCAATCGACGATAACGTGGTGACGAAAGCGAAGAAAACAAGTGATAATTGCTGAATACAAACCTTTGATACGATTCCACAATCTTTGGCCTCAGTTGCGGACATTTTATCGCCCGTGAGGCACATTTCCATCGCTAACGATTTGCCGGCTATCCTTGTTAAGCGTTGCGTGCCACCAGCTCCTAAACAATATCAATCGCATTGAAGTGCTAGCAATATCAATACAACAACAGAATCGGCATGATAATAAAATGCTTCAAAATAAATCACTGATCTAATGAAATAGTGATATCTAATCTATAATCTGTACGATGAAGAACTCATGAAAATCTAATCTATACATGATAATCTATTG